GAAGTAAAAGCTTTAGGGAAAATGGTACAAATAAATGGCATTTCTGAATTGAGACATTAGCTTAAGCCAATATCTTTCTTATCCACTACTAGGTAAATTAGTATTCAAAATGCATTGCTGGAATTGTCTGGTCAGAGTCTGATCAGCACTTGACAGAAGTATGCTTTTAGGAATGTCACTTCCATCAGATTACCCTGTTTGCTTGTCCAGTGAGTGTTAGTGAGCCCAAATTCAGCTCTGTTATTTCTTATTTATGCCTACAGTTCCTGGTGCTGAGTACAAGAAAATAAAGCAGTAGACTGGGAGATGGCAGCATGTTTGTGGCACCAGTAGAGATTAGTGTGTCTGTAGCAGCAGGACAGACACCTTTTAAAGCCAGTTCCTTTATTCTTGGATTTTTTAAATGCTCTTAAACTCTAGTTAGAGGATAGTGTAACTTTGCCAAGAGGAAAGACAAGAGAGTCAACAATACAAAACATACTGAAGAATTAGAGGAATAATGTTGTAAAGTAACATTTTAGATCTTTAAACCCTGTCACCCTCTTCTGACAAGTCAGATGTGTATGCTTAAGCTTTAGTATTAATAGTCTAGATGAAGAACTGTGGATTAAGTAAAATATTCTTGAAATACAAGCTTTTTTCCTATGTGATTTCTGAGAATATGAAAGCTGGGTGCACCAAAGGAGCAGCCAGGTTTTTTGCACTTTATGCATTGGTTGTGATTCAGGGTTGTGACCACATTTTAGTTCTGCAGCCTTCCTGCCCAGAAAAGGAACACAGTGGGAAATTAGACTTGTGATACTAATCTGAATCTGTCCAGTAATGCAAAAGTGTCCCTCTTGTTCAAATCCAATGTTAACTTGCAAAATAGAAGCCTCTGTTACAGTTTCAAAGATTACTACTTAGAGAGACTGTTAGATTTAATTGGCTTTTCAGCACATTATTGTGGAGCCAAGACAGAGCTGCTAGAGTATCCCAGCACAGCTTCTCTCTGCATCTTTTGAGGAGTATATAAAATTTACCAGTTGTAGAGAACATGAAGTAATACACAAAAAAGCTTACCCAGAGTATAACTAAATGAACTTTGTAATCTCAGGAAAATGCTATCATTGGTAGCAAAAAAAACCCCAAAAGCTTGGTAATTTTGGTAGAGTTAGGATTTTCTTCAGTATTCTTGACAAAATAATAATTAAACTACGGGTGCAAACTTGCCTTATTTGTCTGGCAGTGATCATCAGATATTTAAGAAAATTATTTTCTTCTGTGTTCCAGGAATATACACAGAAATACACAAATCAGTACTGTCTGCCTTTCTTAATGACTAATTTGTAGTATTCTGTATCTTACAGTTTCTTTTGCAAGCTACCTGTAGCTGAGTGTTGGATGCATTTCTGCTGGTGCACTCTGCAGTCAGTCTTTTAAACATCCTTCTGTTTTGATATCTTTAAAAATGAAAACTTTTTTATGTCCCAAAACACACTATAATTCTCAGGAAGAATTCTCTTAGTGTCTCCTATGATCACAGCAATTAGGATTTGTTTACATCTGTAGTAGGGTTTCCCTATATCTGATAGGCTGCCCTGTGGTCCTTCATCTCCAGTCAGGTGGGGTGTTAGTGTAGTAAAGAGTCTTTAAGAGCTCCTTCATATAATATTTGTAGCATTTTGTCTCTCTGAGCAGAGTTTTTTAGAGATCAGTAGTAACAGGTGTTTAAATCTGTTACTTCTCAGTTGCAAGGAACCTATACTTAATATGATAAATGGTTTGGCATATTTAATCTTTGTTGTGAAACTGGGGCAGAAGCTAAACTGTCTAGTCTACTGTACTGTGTTGTCTCCAGGACAATGTGAGCTCAGACATGATGATGGCAGGTTTACCTTTAGAAAGTCATGTATTCTCTCTGGTTCTGTCTTTTCATCTGTAAAGTAAGGGCATTTGCCTGTTCTGTGGGGAATAGCTGTAAGTCTGCTGTACCATAACAGTTAAAAATGGTAACATTAGAACTGAAATTGAAACTGACTTCTGGTTCAGTGCTTCTAGCAGTCTGTTAGTTTTGCAGGTTTTATGGCCTGCTGGTTGGTGAAGAACAACTGGCTACTTTCTACTCCTCAGATTGTAGAGATGCTTAAAAGTCTAAAGCAAATCAGCTAATTCGTACTATGTTAAATGGCTGAGTCTAAATGGAGATTATTTCGTAGGTTTTTAGTTACCACATGAGCCACACCACTTCTAGACTTTTTTTGTGTGTAAGAAGACCTATCCTTATTGCATTAATGCATGTGCACATTTTTAACAGAAGTGCTTCCCCTGCCTACAGTAGCAGCAAGGATATTCCTGCTCCAGTCAGTTTCTTAGGTCTGTCTACTCAGAAAAGGGTCTTCAAAGACACTTTGGACATTCATTTCAACCAAGGTAATGCTTCTAAGGTAACAAAACCAGTAGAGCCTGGAGTCACTGGTTTTGAATGATTACTCTGCTGAGAAAAGTTAAATGCCACCTGTGGGGATAGCCTGGAACAGTGAAAGCATGTAAACAAAATGCAGACAATCAAAAAAGACAGCACTTACTCCTCTTACTGCCTAGGAATATCTTTGTTCAATGAGTTTGATCTAATCCTGGAACCTCTGTGCATTGTTTTGTTTTTTTCTTTCCCTGCTCTTTAGCTTATCTACATTGCTTGCTCGTATGCCACTGTGTACCTGATCTACATGAAATTCAAGGCCACCTATGATGGAAACCATGATACATTCAGAGTGGAGTTCCTGATAGTTCCTGTTGGTGGACTCTCATTTCTTGTCAATCATGACTTCTCTCCTCTGGAGGTGAGTTGGTTGTGGGCAGGAGGTTACACATTTTTTTTCTCTAAAATATTTAGAAAACTAATGTGAACATTTTAGGCTCATCAAGGAATGCCTGAAAGATGCCTGTGTTTACTGGGTTCAGGCTAATCCTGTTTCCTGAATGCATCTTTACAGTGTAGATTTCTGTGGAAACACAAGGCACTTCAGGAAACTAGCATTATTATCAGCATTTATTATGTTGTTAAACAGAAGACTATTCTTTTTTCCAGTACACTATCCTTCCTTCTGTTAAGTTTAAGGAAATGCCCCAGAATGCAGTTTATGAGTAATTGGTGCCAGCTGGTGAAAATGTTGCAGTGTTGCGAATGGTCTAGAGCATCAGAAAGAATTGGATTGCATTTAAAATGCAGCTGTGTGTTATAATAAAAATGTAATTACAGGGAGTTCAGACAGGTGAATTTTTCCACAAAATAGATAATAGCTTAAAATACTTATTTTAAGAGAACTGTGATACATTTTTATATTTATTTGAGTTAAATAATAATACTAGAGAGTAAGGACATTTTAACTGCAACACTTTGAGACAGTATTTTAAATTTTGTTCTTTAAATCAGTTGATCAAAAAAGTTGGAAGAACAGGAGGGGAAAAAGGGACTTGATCTTTTCTGCAGCTCTTTACAGCACCAGCTCTGTAAGCTGTATTTCATGGTACTGTGAATCTTGATCTGATGGGTGCACATACATTTCCTCACAAGTAAACCTGTGCCTGCCAGCTCACTGGACAGCTGGTTTGGAAAGACTGTTGTCTGCCAAGAGAGTTGTACCCTTGTGCCATCCTGTGGTTGATTGTGAAGCTTTAACTTAGTGTTTCCTGTAGGAGGGATAGTTTGCCAAAATACTGTAGCTGTTCATGTCATTGTCAGGGAGTGAAAAGTCAAGCCAAGTCAAATATCTTCTGTGCTTCTGTTACCACTAAGACAGTTGAATATACCTGTGGGGGTTTGGTTTCTCTTTCAGATACTCTGGACCTTCTCCATCTACCTGGAATCGGTTGCTATTCTCCCTCAACTTTTTATGATCAGCAAAACTGGGGAGGCAGAGACCATCACTACTCACTATCTTTTCTTCTTGGGTCTGTACCGTGCCTTGTACTTAGTCAACTGGATTTGGCGCTACTATTTTGAGGGATTTTTTGATCTCATAGCAGTTGTTGCTGGTGTGGTCCAGACCGTTCTTTACTGTGACTTCTTCTATTTGTATGTTACAAAAGGTAAGTGGTGCAAGAACTTTCAGCTTCAAGGTGTGGGATGTAGTAATTAACATGTTCATAGAGATCTGCTATATCAGTATTACTAGGTTGTTAATTCTGAATGCAAATTATCACTGAAATCTTCTAGGTAGATTTATCAAACACACTTCCTGCTAGCATGGGGCATTTCAGATGATTGTTTTGATTATGGGTAGAATATTAATGTATAAATGATCTGATGAATTTAATTGACAAATTTAAAGTAAGTATGGCTAAATACATGTTGCTGTTATCTTCTATCAATAAGTGTGATCCTCCTGCTTCTCCTGACAACATGCATTTTGTGCAGATTCCACACTTCCAGACACCTTTCTTAGTGCTTTAAGTACCTTAAAGAGTCTAAAGGACTCAATGTTTCAGTTTCTGATCAGTGTAGAAACCATCGTTTCTGCTGGGTGCATTAGTAACTCTGCCCTTATTCACATTCCAGCTTCCATCACATAACTTACAAAGCTCTGTGGGTCAGTGTTATTTTAGTTACATGTAAGTCTTGAGAAACGTCAGGCACAAGCTGATATGTCTGAGGAGGAAATGTGAGAATTCCGGGGTGCCACAAGAGGGCAGGATTGGAATAGCTGTTAAGTCATGGTTTTACCAGTATGTATTGAAAGAGAGATGAGCTCAGGAGGAGTGTCTGCAGCACACACCCATTTTGTAACAAAGCGACTCTGTGGCTTAGGTGCGATAGATTTTGGTCACTTTTGAAGTTCTAACAATGTGTGCTTATAGATCATGTCTTTGTGTTGATAATTGTTTTCTTTCCTACTTTTCCTTACAGTACTCAAGGGAAAGAAGCTTAGTTTGCCAGCGTAAGTGCCAAAAAACCGTCAGCAGCATCTGTCCTTTGGGATGCTTGGACAGAACAATCCTTATCACAAGCAAAGGCGAAGATGCTTGAGACAGAAAGTCAGAAACACAGCTCTTGATAGCGCAGGTAGTCATCAGCGGCTCTGTAAGAATGGAGGAAGAACAACCAGCAGATTTCTGTTTGATGCATCTTGCCTTTATCTTTTTTATTACTATGTATAAAGATTTTTTACATAAAGAAACTTATACTGTATTAATAAATTCAGTGTATGGTTTCAATTGGAATAGTTCCAAAAGTGAGATTTTTGTGAGATTGTTTATGACCAGGAACAAGTGCAAACTTTTTTTTTAATTTTCAAGAATTTCTTTGAAATTACTGATTTTTTTTTTCTTATTTTTTTTTTCAGTGCACAGTTATGTGCATCCTTGATGGATGGTAGTCATCTGTTCTTTCCCTTTGATTCAATTTTCATTCCACTATATTTATTTTTTTCCAAAAGGTGAATATATGTCAACTCTGAATCTGAAACCACCAATGTTTGATGTGATGTGCTGGTGCCCAGTCTTTGTGCCATCTGCTGACATGGAGTTCCTATTTAAATATATGTTGGTGCCAGAAGGTGAACAGTCACATTTTGTAGTCGTTCTCCTTCTAAAACAGGCTGATGGCAAGCGGACAGTAAGGAAACCTCTTGAAGCCACACAGATGGGCCCTTTCCTGGTTTGCCATGATGTTTGGGAAGATAATTCCAATACTGAAAGCACTTGGCAGTGCAGGTCGTGAAGAGTAAGACACGGGGTTGGGTTGCTCAGTGGCAAATGTTAGTGACTGTATTCTTTGTTCAGGAAAAGGTTAAATATCTTGGATGTGCAGACCTGCTACACTGTTGCAGCTATAGAAAGGAGAGACTTGTAAGTTGTTGATTACAGTAATCTGTAGGTGATAATTTTAAACAATATCTACATTTTCTTTTTAATGAATGCTACATAAGCGACTTCCATGTTCAGCTTCAAGTGGTTTTTGGTGTCACTTTTGGACAATTGAGGTTTTTTTTATAAAATTTTCAAAATCAGCAGCACCAGTTACCATTCTTTATCCTTTAAATGATTCCCTTTTTTTACTGAGCTGTTGCATGATTTATCCTGTGTTACCATCCTCAATAAACACTTTATGAAATGGTGAAAATGTTTTTATTATTCCTGAATTTCAGTTTTCTGTTAGCCTGAAACTGGGTGAAAAGTTGTGGTAAGGACACGTGGCTTAATGTTGTTGTTTCCCCTGCTGAAATGTGAACTTCCTAAGGCTGTGAGGGGCACTGTCACTGCACGAGGCAGTGCTGACTTAGTTCTGCTCGTTTGGCAAGAGCACAGTCTCCAGCTTAGTGCAGACTAGGGTTTGTTGCTTTGACATGTTTCTGCTTTATATTCAAGAAGTCATTTATCTTCTGTAAGTTAGCTTACCATCATTATCCCCATAGTTAGTGATGGTTCTCAGCCTTGTCCCCAAATGTGAAGAGTGGTTTTTGTTTGCAGAGTGTGCATGCTCAGATGCTGTGCTCTCTAAAGCCTCACATCTGCCCTGAGGATCCTGTTGCTCAAAATCAAGGTCTTTCCCTGTAATGAAATACAAGGTTATGATTCCAGTTGTAGCCGTGTGAGATGTGTGCTGGTCCGTATGAGAGAACTCCGGATCTGGGTGGGTCATTGGCTTCCCTCCCCCCGTGCAGAGGAGCAGGGGCTGGGAGGAGGGGAGAGGGCTGGTGTGACAACAGGCGGCAGCCGCAGCCCGTCACGTTCCGGGCGCTGACCGGGCTTTTGGGGCGTTTCGGTGGTTTCCGGGCGCCGCTCGAGACCCCGTCTCGCGCCGCCCCGCCCCTCGCGCATGTGTGGCGGCGCTCACGCGCATGCGCGCGGG